CCCATTAGTTATCGCCCCCTGCTTGCTAAGCCCGAGGCCACCACTGATGTCCTTCCGGCCTCAGGGCAATCTGAGGTATAACAGAAAGGAAAAGCTGCCCATCTGGATGATGGTTGATACGCTCCAGTCTTTTGTTGGGGCTGTTGTGTCACCCCATATTAGGGAGGGTCCCCCGCTTTTGTTCCCCCGTGACCCTCTTATTTTTCTAGCCGTTGTTCTGTCCTGAGGATATAGTCTGCGTGAACCAGCCAGTCTCCCCACCCGGGCACCGAAGGAGCGTCCTGGTTGTTTCTCCTAAGGCGAGGTCTACATTCTCCCGGCAGCCCGTGGCACCGTCCGTGTCCCTGGACAGCACCCATTCATTCTCCTCTCTCCCCTTCGTGCCCAGCCCTCCCGTGCATGGGAGGAGAGTGGAAAGGCCTTGGCTTTGGGTCAGGGGCACCTTCGTCATCAGAGTGACATCTTTGCCTTTTACAACATCAGACAAGAACGTCGTGGCAGATTGGCCCAGTGCAGCGCAGCGTTTCAAGTCTGGGCCGCTGCTAGCATGGACGTTGATCGTTGAGGCAAGAGGACTGAATTTGAGCAGGTCTCGTCACATGGCCCCTCCCATTTGTATGTCCACCACCAGGGTGTGATGGGGTTTGATTTCCCTCACTACCAATTGCTGATCGCTGACGGTTAGTCTTTGGGGTTTGGACGTGATAGGTCTCTCTGAGAGAAACCCGGCTTTCAGGCTGGCCGGCGATCCCCCTTCTTGTGTGCTGGGGCTCTTCCGTCAGCTTGCACCCAGGGGTCAGGCCTGCGCCACCACCTGTAGAGGCGATGTGGTACAAAGGAGATGACATGGTGTCTCAAATGTCCTGGGCGAACTTGGGTTGAGTCAGACGGCAGCCATGAGAAATAGGCCAAGGGGTGGTGTTTTTCATGCCCACGAATACGGAGACAGAGCAGAGGTCCGTGACCTGCCTAAGGTGGACCTAGCTTGTGGCAGCCATGGGGCAGGAATCCTGAACCTTGGGCTCCCCTTCTTTTTCCAGTGTTCCTGCCCAACAATAGGTTCACGCATGTGTGAACCTCATGCGTGGCTTTGCCCTTGATTTCCCCTTCGGCTTGGAGGCTCTGCCCTGAGAGTAAAGAGTGCCGGGTCTAGACCCATGCTGCTAGCTCTCACCGGCCCCTCCACTGCCCACTACCAGCACCTTGGAGGGTGTGGTGCAAGTTGAGCCACCCCTCAAAAGCTGGAGGTTCACATCCATCCAAAAAAGCCCCCTGGGAAATAGTCCTGGCAGTCTACCTGTGGAAACCCCCCTGACAGTTCTACCTTGACACAGGTGGGGGTGCCGGGAGTTGGAGCCAGCTCAAAGGTTTTGCTCCTGGTGAGCACCGACTGCCTGGCCAGGTAGCAGAAGAGAACTGATCACATGGGTGGTCAACCTTTTGCCTGACCTCCATGGGGGGAGGGGGGAGGAGGGCTCCCCACGGGAGGTAGGGGTGGTGGGGGAAGGAGGGCTCCCACTTCAGGTCTATCCCTTTCCCTAACCTCTTTCCTCTGGTCTTGGGCTAGGGCCAGGGCACATCAGCCGGGGGAAGGTGGAGCTGAAAAATAAAACGAGACAGCGGTCAGTGTAAGATAGGAAATTAATAATGACTTATAATTTGTCAAGGGGTCTCGAGGGAGGGAGGTGGGGTGAAAAGAGGAGCCGATACCAAGGGCTCAAATAGAATGTAAAGGTTATGAAAATAATGATGGCAACCTCTACAAATATGCTGGACACAACGGGTGTATGGATTGTTATGAGAGCTGTGAGAGCCCCCGGTAAAGGGATCTTAACACAAATAACCATAGGATGGGAGGAGAACCTGCAGACCACATACCTGGCGGGGACTTGCATCCACGATTCAGCCAGGCACGCCTCACCTGGCT